GGAGAGTCAAAATCAAATGTCACATTTGTGTGCAAATCCCTCTTAATTAAACCTGATTATAAAAGCTACAGTATTCCATGTAGTTTAGAGTACTGTCAAGTGACATGCATACATGAGTAACAGCGCTCTCTTGTGGTACGCAGGCAAATGAGAAAACAGAAAAAAGAAAAAGACAGGTGTTGTAGGATATGAGAGATTAGGAGTGAAACATTGTTAATATTGGCTTTTAAATGAGGGGTGTGGCTGCTAATTAATTTTAAAAACTTTAAATATGGAAATGACAAATAACATGTAGCAGAATACCAGCACATCCCACTGTAGGTTTGATCTTTCAACTGCATCCACATGTTGACGTGCTGTTGCTGTGGCTACTAAATATATATAAATATATTGGACAACTTGGTATAAGATCCTGTAATGACCTTCCTTGACAGTGATATTATAATACTTAACGGTGCAAAATGTTAATAGGTACTAAAATCACCAGCATCAAAAAAGGCACATGCAGATCTGTGCATATGAGACAACCTGGTTTTTAAACATATATTAAAAAGTTTTTCACATGAAGCCTAAAACTATTGTTCTTCAGGTCATGACCATTCTGCATCCTTTATAGACAGATAAATAAGTCTACACTACAGCCTGACTAGGGTTTTTTTTCAATGTCAATGCATTCGTGTGTCTATAAATGTTTGAAAACCCCAGAGTGAGAAAATGTCAGATAAAGAGACACTGAGGGAGACAGATAAACCATGTGCTCAGCCAGACTGTCAGAATCACTTCTGCATGCCTCTGCAGGATCTGAATGATGTTTTTTTGCAAGCAAAACTGTGTGCGTGTAGTGTTTTTGATTTTTTTATACTTGGAAGGACCAAATATTCTGCAACAGATAAAAAGCATGAAGACACGTCACCTAATGTGAGGTCATGCTGCTCTAGCTGTTGCCATAACTGTGCTCTAGCAATACCTGCAACAAGCCAGACTTGGTTTTCTCTAGGGCCCATTTCTGCTGCTCTACTTCCAGACACTCTGTTACCCCATGTCTCTGACCATTTGTGTCTTTTACAACCCCTCTCGTAACAAATCTCCTCTGAGGCAGGTGAGTCTGAGGGTTCGAGTCAGCTGAGTGTCTGGCTACCAGATTCCACTAAGTTTAGGGAGGCGGGCTGTTCTTTTTGTAATGTAATTCAAATATAATTAGCCAGCTGCCTAGCTGGCAATTTTTCAACCTGCTGAGCATAATACTCTTTCTCAAAAACACTGAAGACTTGAAATATGACTTTCGTATGAGCATTTGTTGTCTATCCAATCAGGTGTAGATAGGTCCCTATTGACACCTCAATGAAGAAGAAAACAATCACCAGCTACTTCTGAGGTGATCTGCAGCTGGCGTGGCGGCTGTGGCTCAGGAGGTAGAGCGGGTTGGCCGTTAATCGGAAGGTCAGCAGTTCAGTCCCCTGTATGTTGAACATACTGAACCCTGAATTGCGGCTGTTCCACCAGTGTGTGAAGTTTCTGTTTGAGCATTTAGGCTCAGTGTGTGAATAGTGGATGTAGTATAAAAGCATTTTGAGTGGTTGAAAAGACAAGAGATGCTATACAAATATGGAGCATTTACACTGGTGTTTTTACTGTCCTAAGCATCAATTCAAAGTCTGGGGAAGCTGCTTTTAGTTCTTATGTTCCCAGTTGCAGGATCGGCCTTCCTGAGGATCTAAGATGTGTTCCGTCCCGCTTATTGGTAACCAGTTGTCTCAATGTTTTGAATATGACATTTATTATTTATTTTGTATTTTTCCCTTGTATATGAAGTGTTTTTTTAGTTAGAATAATGTTTGAATAAAGTTTACTTTGACTTGCCTTGCTTAGCAAAACAAAAAAATCCCTCCTCTTTGATTCTGAGCAACTGATGTTACACAATCACTGCTGTATACCTGTTTATGTCTGCTTGTATGTGTGTGCAGTCCCTGCAGGAAATGGTTTTGATAAGTGGAATGTCGACTTCCGCTTGACACAAAATACCTTATATTTTTGCAAGTACACAGAAACACACACATACAGAAAGAAAAATATAAATTATGGTGATATAGAGACAGACAGACAAACTGCCTCTATCACTCTGGAATTTTCTTATTCAATTGTTTCTCAGAATGTTTTCTTGTTTAGGTTGGATACGAGTCCAGAAATGTGTGTTTGAGTGTGTATTTGAGTGTGTGATTGTGTGTGTGTGTGTGTGTGTGTGTGTGTGTGTGTGTGTGTGTGTGTGTGTGTGTGTAGGCAGCTGACCCGGGTGTGAACAGGGCCACTGTGTGAGACCACAGAGAGACCATTCTTCACTGTGACACAAACGCACTCTCACGCACACTACACACTCACAGCCCTCCCTCACTCTTAATTTGTCACATTCACTTACACACACACTAACACACACACAGACACACATACAGAGGGTGCAAGAGAGTCACTTGCCATAGTTTTGTCATTCCCCTACACTCACATTAACACAGAACTCTAGCATAGTCTTGCTCTTTCTGTTTCTGTTTCTCCCCAACACACACACAAATGCACACACACCCACTGACTGTGTCCAACCACATAATGACCGTTATTTCACTATGCTGACTGTGACTCACTGGTTCAGTCAAGAGATTGGAATGTCAAGCTCCATCTCTTCAGTATATAACTATATAAGCAAAACACCCGTACAACTATAATGTTGCATGGTCGTCTTTAGAGTGTAATTTTGTTTGCTTATATTGTTGTTTCAATTGGTTTTGGAGTCTTGAGGTTGTGGTAATTAATCAGTTTACTTTACTTGAATTGGCAGGGCAGGGTAACTGTACTGTACTGGTGCACTGTAACAACAACAAATTTGCTAGCACACAAGGTTTCACAAATGGTGTGTGCTTACTTAATGAAACATCCTTGTTAAGGTAGGAACAGCATCTTTCAGTCACACTCTGCTAGCAAGATCCAGTTCCACCTGCAAGAAGTTTGGAGAAGTCTGGCCCACATTGGCTGCCATACTTTAAAGAGCCACTGTCCAGTCTGCACAGGGACATTAAGAAAGGTGGGACACAACAGGTGTTGTTCATTATACCTAGCCAGAACATTTTATTTGTTTTTAATTATTTTAATATAAAAGCATAGGTGTCATTTACACTGGGGACGCTGGGGACATGTCCCCACCACTTTTCTATTATATTTACATACTTTGAAAATTCCACGTGCTAACTGAAATTTGTGTTTCCTTTTACATAAATAAAAACATTTCCACCATAAATTGGTGCACAAACTTTCACCAGAATTCAGAAAATGAGGTATAATATAACCGGTCCCCCCAGAGCCCGACTCATATAGCTCAGCATTGAGGATAACTTTAAAACACTGTTTAAGGATCTTTTCGTCTCGTTCTCGTAACCTTAATATTGCATAGTGCTGCCACTGTTTTGGACTAAAAACGCCACTGGGGGAACAGCACAGAACCTAACTTACAGAGACACAGCCCAAAAAATATTCATAGGCATTCATAGTTATTCCAAATAACAGTAACTGTATGAAATTTCATGCTGTAACAACAAATACAACTGTTTGATTATGTGGTCTCACTGTAGTGTGCAGTAAGTATTAAACTGAAAATACCGGGTACCCACAAGAGCTGAGCGGCTGACAAACAGTCACATCATGTAGCACCTAGTAAGTAATTATGGTGTTTTAAAGACGATGTGCTACCAAAATGAATTAATATACTAATGGATGAAGTACAATAAAAACAAATGATTTTCTGGATTGGCCACACTCCAGTGATTTATTATGCATTTCTTCTACTTGAATACATGATTTATAATAAGAACAAGTTGAGAAACAGGTCTATTCTCTGTTCATCCTGCACTGCAGCAGCTAATAAGGGACAGGCTGTAATGGAAAACAAACTTATCTTTCTCAATTAATCCAGTAATAAGTCCCATATAGTAGGAAGATTGATCAAACATAGTTGATCTTTGATGTTAAATGAGGTACAGCTGCACCTAGTGTTTATTTTCATTGTTTTAATTACACAAGATGAATAAGGTATACAGACAGTTCTAAAAAAAAAAAATTTTCTCCACTTGTTACACTGTAGCTATACCACTGTCACCAGTACTTTACTAGAAATTATACAGTAACGACAAGCCATGTGCTGTTCTTCTTTTTGTCCTACTCTGAATAGCAAGGAGCTACCGCCACTTTTTTCTGTGCTTTTGGCCACAGAAGAAAAAAACCCCAACACCACATAAATAATTGTAACTGGTTAAGTGCAGTTTATTTTATTGTACTGTGCTAATTTACATAAAACATGGCTTAAAAACAGTCACATTTAACAAAAGCATAAAACGTAAGTAAATAAATGTAAAATAAAAGTTTGTTTTTTTGCTACTCACCATAATAGTTTTATACCACATAAAGCAGCATAATTTACACACATCATTTTGGTATTATTTTTGGCATATGTTGTTACTAGGTGCACTATATGACCGGGGATGTGATCTAAAGGGTTTTAATTTCTAATAATTACATCTTGACTTTAAAACTACCATTTCTTCTTTTTCCAATTTTTATGTTAAAATGTTTCAGGTAAGGTAAGGTGAAAGCCTCACTGCTAATAATGTAGGAAAATGTATGATATACTGACACTACAACATTAAGGAGATGCTGGAACAACAAGACAAGCACAGGCAAAATGCCCAGAAAGGACTGAGGATAAACTAAGGTAAAGTGAGAATGGACATCAGGGCAGTGAAGTTAAGTGTGCACTTATTTTATTATGTGTAAGAGTTGGCCTATGTGTGTGTGTTATCTGTTAGTTAAGTTTAGTAATAAATAATCATTTATTCTCTTATCTTTGTTAAATAATTTTCGTTATCACTTATTTTCAATATGTTTTTGCAAAGTGGAAGACTGAAGTCCCCTGAGAATAACGTGTGGACTTTGAACTTTCCCCCACAAAGACAAGCACTTGGGCAAACGAACACGGACACACTTGGAAACAGTGTGTACTTTTCAGTCAGCTGCATATGGACGCAAACATTGTACAAACGGGATTAATAAAGCAAAGTTACTTTTTTCTTGTCGTTTTCCCGGGTTTTACTGGATGTCAAGTGAGTAAACGACTCGTTTTAAGAAAGAAAAAAAATCACTTCTCAGGAGCAAAAGTGTCAAGTTAAACAGTGTTATTGCAAACAGAAACAGGGTGATACTAATTTCACAATTAAGCATAGATGTTGTAGGTGGAACAGTTGGTATCTGAGACAGATAAACGAATCAACATTACGTTAGTGAAACCGGAAGGGCGAAGCGCACCTTCCAAACACGCCTATCTAGGCCTACCTACCTTTTTTTATACAGTCTATCTAGTGAATTTCGACATTTCTAATCCAATTAATATACGGGGAAATCTGTTTTGATATTATGAATTATTTACTGTTATATTTGTGATATTTTATGTTGCATCTCTTCTCAGTAAAACAGAAATACAAGCGCAAATCTCTCAAATGTTTCAGGTCTGCTGGTGAAGGAATTTATTTTGAAAGGTCTCTCCGGAAATGGTGTGTTTTACGCTGACTCACTTGACGCTGCTAGCTAAACTTCAGAATGGACCCGACAAGAGGAGGAAAGCCCGTTAGTTTGTAGAGGAGAAACTGTGACCGTCCATGTCTTGTCCACAAATATCAACCCGCTCACAAAGTTACTGAGAGCAATGTCGAGAGAAAACATCACTCGAAGTTTGGACAGTATAGACCTCGCTGCTTTAAGAGTGAGTAGGACAATGTTGTCTTGTCTTTTAATGAAATGTTTGAGTAAACATTGGAGGATGTGGTGGGTGTTGCTACAAACTTAACAGCAGTTTCAAGCAACAGCTTTAACGTTACTTGAGCAGTCACTGATTTGTTTTTACCGTGTCTAACTTGCTTTATGTAACGTTACTGTTAAAGAAACGTGTTATCGTGTCCCAACTTTGTTAAATGTAGACGGCCGTGTACCCTGTAAGTTAACATAATGCTTTCTGTCCGCACTGTGTCCTGCTTGGTGTAACTTAACCTAACTTTACAAGCACCAGTGTTTACACACAGGATTTTCTTTTTGCTGACTTGCTGAAAGTTGCAACCATGCAACAAGTCAAAGCCGATATACTTTGTGTATTTATTGAAAACTAGATAAATGTGTTGTGGTCAGTGGCACATTGTGTTTTAACCCAATTCAATGTAACGTTATAACACAGCTAGTATAGTATAGTGGTCTTGTTGGTCATGCTGGTTTATGAAATACAATGTGACTGAAGAATGTTAATGCTCATGTAATGTCATTTTATATCTCTTTAGGTCATGATAGTCTTATAGTCAGTGGAGCCATGGCCTACAGAATAAAATATTAGGGACATTTTCAATGATTTTCAAGCCATATTGCCATTCCTTGTAGCTCGCAATGATATCCACATTTGCTGTCCCACTTCCTCAGTCCCCATTCCAATATAACACTGCATTGTTCCTCTCCGTTTGCCCTCAGAACTGAGTAACTTTTCTTCACCATGTTTTTTTTTTTCTAGGATCCAGCAGGTATCTTTGAGTTGGTGGAGGTGGTTGGCAATGGAACCTATGGTCAGGTGTACAAGGTTAGTACTCCCGTGATGCTTTTCTGTCCACCTTTTCCATGTTAGTGACATGAACATGAGCGCTGCTGCAAACCGTGATGCTGATACAAACAAACGTGTATTGTCGTTTCTGTCTGAACATTGTTTACATGGCACTAAGTTACAGTAGATCATAAAAGCTGTCTGTTATAGTTAAAGTCTCACAAAGCTGCACACCGCACCAGGCCTCCAGCAGCCATGACGCATGCAGACATGCAGTATATTACAATATTTAACACGTGACTTCTGGTAAAACTTATACCTACTTCCAGTTAGTTAGGATGAGACATTCTGCATTGACTGAAATATCCTGTACCTCTTACAGACAGAACACACACACACACACACACACATGCACACCAGCATCTGTAGCATCTTTTAAAGGCCCTGGGTGGAGCTCACTTCCTTATCGCGATATCTGTTTGTGTTTGAGTGGTTTGTGGTTACAGGAGGTGTTCAGTCTTTTTTAGGTCTGTGCAGCTGGTTGTGCCCAGGGTGCAAATCATGTTCACATGCATCTGCTATACCACAAACTATGTGTTACTATACCGATCTGTATAACAATTTGAGTTTTGAGTATTAATAAAAAGGAGGTTGGGTGTCACTTTTAGACATGTATTGCTTAGAGGCAAATGGTACAAATAATATATTAATATCAACAATACCTACTACAATGAGATAGCTTTAAAAGGGTTTTTAAAAATGTCTTTGGCGTGGTCTCCCAAAATTGTGTTATATAGCTTAAATGGTATGGGGTGTGAGAGGTTAAAAGTTTACTGCTGAAGAATGAATGAGGTCCATGGATGGTACACACCAGTGGGTGTGTGTGTGTATAAGGGAGAAGGTGGGCGTGGCCTCGGTTTGCCACTTGATTTCCTGAAAGAGGAAATGTTGCAAGAGATGCATAGGACAGTGAGGCCTGTGTTGGCCTTTACACAGGGTGCTTGTACACAGGGGTAGAAAATCACAAATTTCATCCTATGACCCGCATTCATTGACGCTCAAACAAGGGGAAACCTCCAAAGATGAATCAATGGTGAGCAGTCTTATTGAGGCTGGCTTGCAGCAATGATTTTTCATGTCAAGCTGCCACAAACGAGGCACTACAGACCATTTGAAATTGTTTTTTTATTTCTTATTTTGTAAAGTAATGAATGAAATGACAGACACGAAAATAATCCTTCTGCTGATTTAAAATAGTTGACACTTTAGAATGAACTTGATTCACAAGCAGTTAATCACAAGTGCTGGTTATGTTGCCTTTGAAGACTTCAACGGCTGTCTCTGCCACTTATTCTAATCATGTTTTTGTCCATTATGTGCGTCTTTCATGCTGGTTGTAATACCCATGATGCACTCATAGTCAATACAATATTCTGTCTTATGAGAACTGCTATAGGCAAAGTAGTGATCGTGTGTAACGCTAACAGGCAACCAATTGGACCTTAAAGAGGAACGGGCAGATCTGTTTCCCTATGCAAACACACAGACACACACTCTGTGTGTGTCTGTGTGAATGTGTGTGTGTTTTCAGGAATACAGCGAGTCCTATCCTGGGAAACCAGGACAGGAATAGGGCTCACAGAACAATGACTGATGCTGCCCACAAACACACTGCCCCTTAACAAAACACTTAGTTGTGGATTGACATGAGTGCAGGAGATGCTGACAGAGCTCCTCCTCTGCTTATTTACGTATGTGTGCTGTATTTTCATTACATTCATTTTTAAGCATTTAGTAATGGAACATGAACAGGATATCCAGCAAGAGATGTTACATTACATTATGTTTATGCATTTAGCTGACGCTTTCATCCAAAGCGACTTACAATTCCTATATATGTCAGAGGTCGCATGCCTCTGGAGCAACTAGGGGTTAAGTGTCTTGCTCAGGGACACAATGGTGGATGTGCAGGCGTCTTATCCGTGCGCCATCACCACCCCCGTTCCGATCTTAATTCTAAGCTTAAACCTCTGTGTCACCGTTATTTACATTACTGAGTGCAAGTTAAGAAAGTACAGCAGAGGAAATCCCATGGTGTGTCACTAGCACAACTGGATAACACTATTCCAGTGTTTTAGTGTTCTAGACATGAACTGGGCAGAGTAATATCAGGTTAATAGAAAATTGACCTATACTGTGCCTAGATACTCAAAATAATCCCAAGTCCCAGAGACATAGTGTTGTGAGACAAATTGATTTGTGTTTTAGAGACCCGATGTGTGAATACACACCATCTATAGTATGCAGCCATGGGCAGAGGAAAAGTCCCTATTGAGGTTTATTTGACATTTAAAGACATGCTGAGATCACTGTCACCATGGCATTTGTGCTATATTTAGCACACTTATTTTTAATACTTAAATACACACTTGTGAGGTCACAATTAACTTTGTAGTACAGTGGAATGTGTTTGCATTTATTTTTCATTTATTTATTTGCTGTGGTAGAAACGTTGGTAAAAGGCAACTGAATGCAGGACCAAAAACGAGAAATGGCTGGTTTCGTGAAAAGCAGATATAAAAGGTCTAAAATCAATTTACAATCTTACAGTTAGTAACAGGCAGGGTTAAGTAATGTCCGTCAAGTCAGGCAAACAGACAGCAGGTCAAAGCATTTATAAACCACGTAACTAGAAACTCACAGACTGCAGGTTCAGGTAGGCAGGAATGGGCTACAACTCCGGGATAGACGACAGGTGAGGCATGACGGTATGTGGAAAGTTCAAAAACACACACAGAGACTTTGAAAAAGAGAGAGTTTGAGGATGAAGAGGCGGAGGAGGGCAATGGAGCAGTTTGGAGTTCAACTTGGGTGATGTTGCCTGTTAGTTCTGCTCTAAATTGAAGCCGTACAGTTGACCTGTGTCTTGCATCAGGAGTTGAATGTATTGATTGCTACATTTTACCATGGCTGAAAGTGGTTTTATTTTTCATTATTTGCTAATTGCCATTTTGCCATGATGTCAATCAAACCCTGGTGTCAGTGGAGGAAAGTGAGCCCCATTAGCCTCATTTTCATTTTAATCCAGTGGAACAGCCTCCTGGTCAGCAGGCAGGATTTCCTGACACGCTAAGACAGACACAATTAGAATAAATGGGGAGTCAGATGGAGAGTAGAGAGGGTTGGAGAAAACAATCAGGCTTTTTCAGCCAAATTGCCTCAGGAGCTAAAAAGTCAGGAACTCAAAGAATCCTCAGTGTACTTGTTTTTACGTTTCCACCACAGCTTAAGAATTGCAATTGGAGACATTAGAGCGATAACAGATTAAAATGCCACCGTGTAAATTGAGACATCACTTTTGCACGAAACAAGACAACACAGAGTCATCATCACTGTTGTGTATGTGAGTGATGATTGAATGGATGTCGGAAAGAGAAATGCAGATGTGGAGGGTGCAGGGAGATTTGAGACATTCGAAAGCGAAAGGCAAGACCCAAGGTAGAGAGGATGTGATTGGGTTGCGGTTATTGGTGTCCTATAGTATCTGTAATGAAACTTGTGTTTGACCTGCCCGTGACATTCACTACTGCAACTCCACCCCGTATAGTTATTGCAAGACTGGAAAGTAGTGTCATGGTAAAAGGGAGATTTTGAGGACAAGAACAAAAACTGGGCCGAGGTTCCTGCAGTATACATTCTTTATTTATTTTATTTGTATTTAACCTTTATTTATTCAGGGAGCTTCACTGAGAGCAACCTCTTGCAGGAAGGCCCTGATCACAATCACACTGTTACACATTCATACCTGGAGTATACGTGCAGGTAAAGTTCCTTAGTCCTTAAAAAAAATAAATAAATCCTGGATAGGTTCCTGCAGTCGAAAAGGGAAGTGGTTCCTGCCTGGAAGACAATCAACCTTTCCTCCTCTAGTCTACTAGTCACGATTATTTTTGTCACCCCCTAACCTTAACCCTAATTAAACCATTTAACTTATTAAATGTCTTTCAAGTGAATTACTTATCTCCAGCACACAGCATAACTTGCTAACCATTAAGCGAACGAGGTATCAACCAGGGGGAAAAAAGTGAAGAAGACAAGACAGCGTAGGCTACTCCTACAAGTCACTGATTTACTATTGCACTTAACGTACACAACTAAAAGAGCATTCTCTTAGCCAGCACCTCCCATGAGACCTCAAACCAAGAATGCAAAGAACTAAGGAGAGACTGCTCCAAGATAACAGCCAGGCATTATCACCCATAACAATAAGCTCACAATCGGATTTATTGCCAAGTAGGTTTTAACTTTAAAACGTTTAACTTTTTAACAAAGTATGTAATGTAATGTCTATTTAGAATAATAAAGCAATAGACCCCTTTCATAATACTTCTGTTGTTTATTTTATCAAAGTGCTTATAAGTTTTATAAGCCGACAATGTTCTGTAGGCTACATCATGAGCCAGATGTTTCTTGATTTACTTTAAAATGTTAAACCATTACTCGGATTGTAAAGACAACAGATAACAGAGGTACGAACATTGAAACTATTTTACAGTTGTGGCATTTCCTCTTTTGCTCTGTTGCTGCTGCAGTGGTCTGTGTAACGGGGACCAGAGGGCTCTGTGGGCGTGACTGGCCGGCCGGCTAGCACCGCTAACCTTGCAGGCGCGTGTGGAGCTTCTCAACCCCGAAAACGTTTAAGCACATTTTGGATTCGCCATCAACTTCGAATATTAAGTGCCAATATTCAAGATCTACACAGTTGATTTCTCGCCTCAAAACCTCTCAAAAGTGTATTAGTGATGAAATAGCGCACAAAAGTTGTAAAAAACGTTCTGCTGTTAGCCTCTTTCTCCGTTGCTTTCTGCTTCTTCTTCGTGAGTAGTCTTAGGCCCAATCCCAATGTCCCCCTAAGCCCTAAACCCTGAACCCTCACAGACTTTACTGACGTCACTTGGAAAGTGATTGAGTTTAAGAGGCTGCAAAGACTCAAAATGCCGTAAACATGAACGGGACAGCCCTTTGCCACTTTATCACGT